AGTTGCCCTTTGGACACCAGAAAATATTTAGGTAACCATATTTATTATCTTATCATTGCAGCCGGCCCAGAAATATCTAACTATGATGGAGACATGGACATTGAGATAAGTTTCTCTGACCCCGCTCTGGATGCAGAAATCAGACTTTATTTGAAGAATTTAGATACATACTCCGCACTCCCGAATACAACGACTGTAACCAATGTAGTCCTTTTTCCAAGTAAGTACACCGCTATCCTGCTGCATGTCAGTTGGTGCAACGGGAAAGAACCTATTGACTTTTTTTTGTATTCCTAAATTTCTAAAATTATTATTTATGGTGTTTTTTTTAATTAAAACTTCATATTTTTAGCCACTTCACCTAAAACATATAATGTCCTGGTTAGTAAAGCAGAACAACAGTACTGGGTGAAATGAGGAAATCCTCTTTTTTTAACTGAATCCAGATCAATGAAGATAATTGATGATTGGATGGAATTGGCTACTCCACATTGGTTAGGGGCTTTCTGTGAATGTATTTAAAGACGTGTACTACACATATTAATTGCAGGCATTTTGTAGGCTGGACAGAAGATGCACTCAATAAATCCTAGCTTGAAAACTTGCAAATAGAAAAGACTCCCCCACCCTCCCTACCAGGTGTTTATGTTATCTGAACTGTTAAGAGCCTCCTGACTCTGTCTGAAGTGACCTCAATGGTCAATGCAGGGGTGTCCCTATACTTTTAGCCGCCTGATGTGGTGGTGATGGTGGGGGGTGCTAGTGGAGCAAGTTTCGGGCGGAGGGGGTGCTAGTACTAGTGGAGCGCATGTTATGGGGGATTGGTAGTGGATCATGTTGGCTTACCTCTGCCTCCAGATCCGTCTGGTGTCCCCCCCAGCTCACTGACGTTACTGGTTGCCAGGAGCTGAGCAGGACACTGTAGGCAGATAAGGTTTCTAAGAGCTCTTACCAACCTGGGAAGCTCTGGCCACAAAGAGAGTGGCAGCGCCCCCCTCCCCCACATCACCCTAAGAGATGCCGCTTCCAGCTGCCTTATTGTAGGGACGGCCATGGGTCAGTGCAATGGCAGATGGCAATGCAGCTCAGACTTTAGGGGTTTATTTACTGAAGACAAATTGGCTGTTCACTTTGCAGGGGGATTTTTCCTTTTCCGTTTAATGAATGTGGTGAAGCTCTGCTGACTTCCTCATCCAATCATCTGCATGCACAGTATTATTTTTTTTAATTGTTTCCAATGCATGTGATTGAGTATTCTTTGCAGAGCGAATTTTCACCACATTCACTGAGCTAAGGGAAAAATCTTTTGCAAAGTGCAACCTAGAGCATCGAAGTGAAGTGGCGAGCGTTGGCTGTCGGTGGAGTGAGGGCTTGGCTATGTAGAAGGCAATGTTCCTGATATCCTAGACATAAACAAGCATTTAACCCTTGCAATGGATCTTCCCCTGCACTACAAGGGTGAAATGCTCATGTATGCTTAGGTATTTTTTTCAGTTTCCTGGGTTTCAGCTTTAAGATCTTCCTCTGTGCATACCAACCAACTTTCTGCGATATAACAAAATCGGACATCTACTGACGGTTGATCCTCCAATCATCTCTGAATTGGTGCTGACACTGTCCTTCCTTCTGGAGGGTGGCTACTTTAATCACCATGGTCCTGTGTGTGTTGTAAAGTAGTCACCGCTCCAAGCTCGCTCCTGTGATGGACTACAATCTCACGTTTAGTTTACTAATTTGTATTGAGATTGTAGTCCATCCTGGGGTCGAGCTTGGAGCAGTGACTACTTTACAACACACACAGGGACCATGGGGAACAAAAGTAGCCCCCCTCCAGAAGGAAGGACAGTGTCAGCACCAATTCAGAGATGATTGGAGGTCTACAGCTCGTACCACACAGACCGTAAAATATGATACTTTAAACTCATAGCTTTTCCTTTTAGCTTTTCCTAAATTGCAAACAGAATAATCTGAAGGTTGCATGGAAAATCTTGTGCAATATGACATTTTTAGGACCTAAATAGCACATCAGTAAAAAAAAAAAAAAATGATGTTTGGGGAGGTAAGAAGGATAGCAGGGTTCCTTTCCAGTCCCTACAAATAAGCAACAGTTGGGAACTATTCTTTGATTATAATAGAAGAGAGCCGACAGAACTGTAGGCCCAATGCAGTACACAGGGTGGATAACCAAATGACAGATCTCTTGATATAAAACTAGGGTTTTATTTAAAAAAAAACGAGCCTGATTTATAGTACACATTTATATACAAGCGGTCCCCAAGTTACAAACATCTTACGTACATACGACCCCTACTTACAAACGGAGGCTATTACTGTACAGCAGGGGGTCCCATGATGCAGCCAAAGTGTACCCCGCATCATTTCAGTAGTTGTAATGCTACCGTAATGCTACCGTGCTCGTGCCGACAAGGAGTGCCCGCCTTTTTGGGTCTGGTTCGTAGCACTGTATGTACATTACAGGAAGTTGGCTCTTGTTAGACGTGCAGACGAGGAGTGCCCGCCTCTTCTTCCTGCTAACTGTGATGTTTTCACTGCTGTCTGTAGCCTCATTAGAAAGATTTAATCTCACTTCCTATCCTTGAGACAACAGGAAGTGAGAGGAAATCTACCCCTAGGAAGGGAAATTCACTCCTGTAAGAGTGATCATGAGAAAAAGGTGTCTCCACTGATGCTTTATCACCAGTTCCTTGTTTCCACGACAACCCAAAATTTTCAAAATCTAATTCTCGCAGGGACAGAAAGTGAGGTTGCACACACAGCAAAACAAACGTTACAGGGGGTTAACCCTTCCCTATGTTATCCAAAATTAAAACAATTTTTTTTGGCTGGAGTTACACTTAAAAAATGTACCTGTTCCAACTTACATATAAATTCAACTTAAGAACAAACCTACAGTCCCTATCTGGTTCGTAACCCGGGGACTGCCTGTATTGCAATATCTTTTCATACAACCTCTTCTTTTCCCTTTTTTTCAGTATGTTATCTAAATGAAACTCATGCAAACTGTTCCTGTGGTCAGGGCTTTGACTGTCTAGGAACACTTGGACCATGTACAGATACAGGCTGCATATGTATCACCACCCTTCCAATGCAAGCATACTGCAAACGTAAGTCAATTCCTCATCAGATTCACTGACATGTGTTTGCTTGCTGCATCTTCTTGTCGTTTTACTCTTCTAAGGTGAATTAGTCATAGTCAGGCAAGAGATGATAGTCACCTATCTTTAAAACATAAAAGATATTTAAAACAATATATTTTGAGTGCTGGTGATCTACTATATTCTCATGATTGTAATGTATGGCACGTTGCAGCTCCTAGCTTCACTTCATGTTTCATGTTGGCCTCATTTTCTACATAGTTTGTTTGACATCAGAGACATCACAGACAAAAAAATGTGCCTCTTGCTGTAACTCGCCCATCAGAAATATGATGTGTGACCGCATAGCTGAGGAGCAGAACTAGGCTACATGGTGGGTATTGATGTACAAGGTGTAATAGGCCCCAGGCTATTATAACCCATTTCACAGAAAAAGAAAATATAAAGTACAATGCTAAAATGTGATTCTACACTTGTGTGGTGACGGCTAAACACAGTTAAAGGGAAACAGTGGTGTAATAAACAAAAAAAATCATACCCTCTCATTCAGGGATTATACCCTCTCATTCAGGGATCATACCCTCTCATTCAGGGATCATACCCTCTCATTCAGGGATCATACCCTCTCATTCAGGAATCATACCCTCTCATTCAGGGATCATACCCTCCCATTCAGGGGTCATACCCTCCCATTCAGGGACCATACCCTCCCATTAAGGGACCATACCCTCCCATTCAGGGATCATACCCTCCCATTCAGGGATCATACCCTCTCATTCAGGAATCATACCCTCCCATTCAGAGACCATACCCTCTCATTCAGGGAACATACCCTCTCATTCAGGAATCATACCCTCCCATTCAGGGATCATACGCTCTCATTCAGGGAACATACCTTCCCATTCAGGGATCATACCCTCCCATTCAGGGATCATACCCTCCCATTAAGGGACCATACCCTCCCATTCAGGGATCATACCCTCTCATTCAGGAATCATACCCTCCCATTCAGGGATCATACCTTTCCATTCAGGGATCATACTCTCCCATTCAGGGACCATACCCTCTCATTCAGGGATTATACCCTCCCATCCAGGGATCATACCCTCTCATTCAGGAATCATATCCTCCCATTCAGGGACCATACCCTCCCATTAAGTGACCATACCCTCCCATTCAGGGATCATACCCTCCCATTCAGGGACCATACCCTCCCATTCAAGGATCATACCCTCCCATTCAGGGATCATACCCTCCCATTCAGGGATCATACCCTCCCGTTCAGGGATCATACCCTCCCATTCAGGGATCATACCCTCCCATTCAGGGATCATACCCTCTCATTCAGGGATCATGCTCTCCCATTCAGGGATCATACCCTCTCATTCAGGGAAACAAAAAGTGGAATTACTCTTTAAAATCAAATCCTAGGCAAAACTACGTCTCCATTTGGGAGATTTCATCACTTCCTGTTCTGTTGATCAGCAGGACTGCAATAAGCTGGGCTTCCAGTATTCCTTCTCCAGAATGCATTCTTCATATATTCTTTGGAAATACCCATAACATAGACAAGGGACTTACTAGGGGCCAGATACATCAATAGAATCTTGACACAGGATCCAACCCTTTCCCGCTCCAGTGGCGTCACAAGGGGGGTGCGGCCCGCACAGAGTGACACCATCAGAGGGGTTGACACCAAAATGACTGACAGTAATTTTGGTTTCACCCCCTTTGAAAATTGGGCATTTGGGCATGGACTGAGTGCCAGACAGCTGCACGAGAGAGGAGGGTACCCAGTGGCATACCGTATCCTGCTGGATGAACATCCCCTCTTCTCCTATCCGGCATCCATCACCAAGATGGTCGCCAGCAGTTACGTGCATGATGACGTCATGCGCTAGTGTGATCATGTCACATGCGTGTATGTTGACGTGCCAGCGGGTGAACCCGGCAGCCCCTTTATTAAAGACTAAAAAAGTTTTACATTTCAGAGCATTCTTAAATATTGTGAATATGGTGACATGTGCCGAGATAAATATTATGTATTGATTTATTTGATGGGGTTTTGTACCTTATTTGGTGCGTAAATGCCCATTGGCAACCCAATGGAATTGCTTTCTTCTTTCTTTGAACTTCCACTAATTTATGTGAAGAGTTAGCTGTGTATTTTATTGGATTAGTTCAACCAAAAGTGATATTCAGTTATAGGGGGACTTTAGGGAGGAAAGGGGAAGGGGGCGTAATGTGATCATGTGATCGTCCATCTTTCTGCCATCATTCTGTTTCAGCCTACCTTGAAGTCTCACTCCTTCTTTTACAACAAGCGTGTTCAGGGCCATAACTACAGATAACGGGGCCCTATAGCAAAAATGTGATGGCGGCCCCCATAATGACCTCTCTCTGAGCTGTGATTGATGAAGCCAAGTTCCCAAAGACTGCTCTTGTGCATCTGTAGTCATCTCTACACTGTTGACTATACAGGGGATTAGAGTTGTTGTAAACTGCAACCCCTGCATCCCTTAATGACACAGTACTGTATTTTCTTCACATATTCTATATTTAATTTTCCGCAGCAACCTAATGGGTCCCCCTTCCACCCCCAGGCCCCATAGCAGCCGCATGGGCTACTCTGGCTATAGTTACGCCACTGGGCGTGTCCTGTTTCACAGCTCAGTGGAATAATATATTCTCAGTGGAATAATATAAATTAAATATCAGGGGACCAGGATGAGCAAAATTACGCTAATCAAAAAAAAACCCCAAAAATCTGGTAATTTTTGCTAAATTTCGTTTGCCATTTTGTATTGGAGTCGATAGGGAAAGGCGGATTAAGATGGTTTGTAAGGGTTCAATGGGCTTTTAAATGGCTTCTGTAGGGAAACTCCTTTTTACTATCCTGGACCTGTTCTTGGGCCAATAAAGGACCCCTCATTGGCTGGGAGTTGGATGTTATTTACTGAGGAACACTAATTCTATCCCCAGTCCAAATGTTTTTCTTCAATGTCGGTGAAGGTTCTCATTCATCCAGGTCATGGTATATCTGTAAGAGTCCAGGCAACTGGATTTGCTGCATTTTTCTAGAAGACGTTTCACTGGACATCCGACCAGCTTTCTCAATTCAGAATTCTTTCTACAACTCCAGAATTCTGAACTGAGAAAGCTGGTTGAATGTCCAGTGAAACGTCTTCAAGAAAAATACAGCAAGTCCAGTTGCCTTGACTTATTTTTTTACAGATTTTTCTTCATTGTTCCTTTTTTCTTCTTTTATTTTCCAGTGAAGGCGAATATGATAATTTCTCCGGTCACCATTTTCCAAGGAGACACGGTAACAGTTGACTGTATGTTTGGTGAACTCGGCAGCGTTTCCTGGTATTTGAATGCTAATAAAATTTCAGACGGTCCAAAATATAACACGTCCTCCACTAAGCAAGGCGCGATCGTGCTATATACACTGAAGATAAGGAGTGTAGCTGATGCTGATAAAGGTGAGTGGACTATCAAGCCATGTTAAGTACACGCATGATACAGTAAGTGATATGTGTGGTTAAAGCAGAACTCCGGCCTTCCCTTCAGTCTTGCACAGTTGTACTGACTCCTCTCTTGGACTGAAATGGCTTCCTCTGATTTCACTGGCATTCTGTGAGCTTCCCACAATGTGCATTAGAAGCTGCAGCAAGTCATATAGAGCCCAACTCACCTCCCCAACCTGACTGTCCCTGGCTTGCCCCCTTTTGTTCATTGGATTTCAGTTCTTTTAATCAAGTCTCAGCATGGCAAGTGGGTGCTACCAAGGCATGCCTAGGAACGCCCACTCCTTCAGACTAACATCCACCCATCAAGGTGTTTTGATATTTCCATAACGCCTCCTAAAAGCCAGCTCAATGCTTGTATCAGGACTAAGGGCTTCTGACAGAAGTACTAAGGTAGGGTTCTGTGATTTTTTGAGGAAGCTACGTACAGCACACAATCGGCCATGATCTGCCCGCATTGCACAGAGACATAGAGTGATCAGTGCAGTTCACTGCACCTGGTGTGAATGGTAGTGATGTGGAGGTTGGTGGTGGGAACCACTGAGCAGCACTGCAGGAAACCAGTAGATGGATACTCCCAGAAGTGTTCAGGATCTCTCCAGAATCCTTCCATTCTACCTTCTGCTACCAAACATCCTGGGTCAGATTACTAGTAGTGAGGAGCCATGTATCAATGGAAACATTTTTTTTTTTTAAAATACAGTTTTTAAAGGAGCAGTTTCACTTAGAGTGAAACAATAAAAATGAAAAAGTCCTCAAAATATCGTGCCTGGGGGGTCCCCTTAAACTGCCCGTAAAGTGGCACATCTGTACAATGTATAGAACCTGCTGCAGCAAAAATTACATTTATAAAGAAGAAGAAAAAAGCGTGCGGTTCCACCCTCCCAAACAATACCAGACCCTTTAGGTCTGGTAGGAATTTTAGGAGGGACCCCATTTTAAAAAAAAAGCGTGGGGTTCCCCCCAAAAGTCATACCAGACCCTTAAGGTCTGGTAGGAATTTTAGGTGGGTCCCCATGTAAAAAAGCACGATGGGGAAAAAGGCCTCTTCCCCACAAGCCCTGGGGCATTGGTTGTGGGGGTGCAGGCAAGGGGCTTATTCACATCAGGGTACTCAGATGCGCCCACCTCTCCTTGTGAATGAGTAAGGGGTATCTCTACCCATTCACTAAGGGGTCAAATCAAATTGTAAAAAAGAGGCCAGACTTTTGAAAAGATCCTTTATTTGGGAAAAAGACAAAAGACAAGTTTTTGAGAAGTCCTGGAAAACTTCAGCCAGTGAATTTCTTCTCAATGGATTGCAGTACTCTCTTCTTTGAAAACCTTCTATTGCGAGTTTCAGTTTGGCATTAATTAGAAATCTGCACCCGCACCATGTACTGGTGACAAACAAGAAACTGTATTTAACCTTAAAGGCTAAATAGTATTTGCATTCCCTTTTGTACTGCATGATTGGACAATATGCCAGTGAACTGCCAACCACGGAGGGTTCTCAGCAACGCTATGGAATTTTCCATTCTGGTTCCTGGCACACCCTAACCTCTTGGCACACTCTTTTTTTAGGGAATTACACCTGCTCTCTGAACAGTAGTGGAACACTGAAAAGTCAAAGCAAAGTCCTTGGTAGTATTAAAACGCTCCAGATCAGCCAATCAAATGATGTGGACTCATTCTGTGATGGCCCACCGTTTACCCTGACATGCTGTAGTGCTGATATTGGGGAATTTAACGTCTCATGGAACACAAGCGGACTCGCGGGTGAGTTACATTGTTTCTATTTTAGGCAGACGTACAAAAGGCCACTTGAGACAAATTAAAATACGCTTCCTGCATTTCTAAATGCCGCTAGAGTTGAGGCGGCAATTAAATTTCCAATGACGTTCGTCAGCTCTCTGGTGGTGTTATCGCTTAATGAGGTTCTGATGAGGTTTTGCGTATTAATGTTTGTATGAAAATCTACCAGAGTGTGGCCAGCCTAAGTGTTGGAATCTGAGTTGGAGTCAGCCACTTGTAATCCCCTGTACAGTAGACTGTTGACTAGATCAGTCTTTCTCAACCAGGGTGCCGTGGCACACTGGGGTGCCTTCAGGCTTCCTCCGGGGTCCTTAGAATTTTCACATTAAAAAGGCCTCCTTATGGAAAAGGGGGAGGGGGGGGGGTGGTTGATGTGAATGAAAGGGACTTCTGGTATGAAGGTGGGGTCCTAATGTGAAGGGGGGCTCCTGATGTGAAGGGGGCTCCTGATGTGAAGGGGGCTCCTGATGTGAAGAGGACTCCTGATGTGAAGGGAGGGGAGGCCTCCTTATGTGAAGGCAGTGGGAGCTCCTGATGTGAAGGAAGGGAGGGCTCCTGATGTGAAGGAAGGGAGGGCTCCTAATGTAAAACAGGAGGGCTCTGATGTGAATGAAGGGGACTTCTGATATGAAAGGGGGGTCCTAATTTGAAGGGGACTCCGGATGTGAAGGGGGACTTCTGATGTCGAAGGTGGGCTCCTGATGTGGAGGGGACTGCTGATGTAAAGTGGAACGACTGATGTGAAGAGGGCATCTGATGTGAAGGGAGAAAGGGCTCCTGATGTGAAAGAAGGAACTGATAAGAGTGCTGTGTAGGTCAAGAGCAAAGGAAGTTAGAAGCATTTCATGCACAAAAACTGGATTTATATCCTTATTGGTTATTAAGAGTTGTTTTTTAAGGTTTTAGTCCAGCTTTATAAAAAAAATTTTGTGTTTGTAATGAAAATGTAACTGGCTTATTTCTATATAAATTATCTGGAGGTGCAGGGAACGCAACAAGCAACGCGGCATGCAGCCTATACACTCTGACTCCCGCTGTCACGGAATTCTGCCCAACGGTCACAAACTACATATGTAGCTTTCAGCGAAATGAAGGAGAGAAAATTTCAAAGACGATGAAAGTGAATTTCTATAAGAAACGTATGTTTTCTTTGTTCATATATGGGGAGATGTAGCTGCTGTCCTCAACACCTTCTACAACCACATCTAACACCACTAACCCTCCCACCAGTCTACAGCTCCATGACCTTCAATCTCCTCCCCCCAAACTTAACAGACTTGGTCCCTTCTCCTAGATGAGGGCCTGGTATAGATTTTAAGAGGAACCCCATGCACAAAAAGAATTAAAATTACATCGAGCCGCCCCCCCCCC